TAATCTCGAAAATCTACTTCCATTTCCCATTCTTTCCTTATTAGAAACAGGGTTGGAAGGGTAAGAAGACAAAAGCCTACGGTTCGCAGACACATCAGGCGGAACGCGGTCTTGCTTCCACTTCATACCTGTGTTCTGTGTGGTCGTGGTATTTCACCGGGCGAACCGGCTAATTCGTGTGAAGATATTAAAGCGGGCTCTACCACTGTTAAACATGCTCTATCTATCTTTAAGAATATTATCAATGCTTTAATAAATAGAGTTGCAAAGTTAATAAATCATACTCCATGTTGTACCGGAGTTGAGATGCGTACATAAACCCCGCGCCCTTATCATGCCTACACTGTGATTAATATCCTCTCTGTATGTTTAAATGTAAAACATTTTATAACGTAACCTCTTTTTTAATTTTGTATAAAAATATTATTTTTATCTCTCTTTTTGTTAAGATAATAAGAGTTTTATACAATGTTTTTCCAATGGAAACTGACGGGAAATTATAAACGTGCGTAAAATGAACACCAACGTAAAGTGAACACCAATTTGCCCTTCAAACTTAAAGTACATAAATTGTTTCAAAAATTCAATTGTTTTGTGCCAAATAATTCGGTACCGTATGTTAACATATACTAGCTGTCGACCGCAACTCCGTCCGCGCGAAATTTTAAAAAAAACTTAATAAGTAGCCTTTGTATTCTTCCAGACAATGTTCTACGTCTGTGCCTAATTTCATCAAGATCTTTTCTTCATTTTCTTTTTGCGAACTCTAAATGCAATCTAGAATTTTTTAACTTAAATTGCAGTTTATTTCATTTAAATATGACTAAGCCGGTGTTATTTTCAATGTTCTCTCCTTTTTACCTTTGAATTATAATATCAATGTAATTAAGAGATCATAAGAAACACATTGATATACAGGTTGTCCAGTAAAATTGATAATCCTGAAACCTCCTGTAGTTTCTGAACCTTTGATGTTTGCACTTGATTTAAGGATTATTAATATTTCGGGACACCCTGTATGTTTCCTTAACTTTATTTCTTGAACACATACAAAACTGATTCTTTGTCTTTTTATTCATCCTATCAGTATTAAATTTTATGTGTTGGTACTAACGACTTTTTATATAAAATAGCTTTTTATTTCTAGACTAATAAAGAGACAAAATATTCGTCTAGTTAATTAGAGTTCTAAAATCTCTGCAACAGCGATTGCAGCAATCGCGCTGTGAAAGTGTAAAATACAGCAGCATTTCTCTTAGTTTATGTACTCGGAGTTAATTAATTGTTTTTGTTAGTCTAACTTAAGCGTGACTATTTTATTACTTGTAATTTTTATAAGCTAATGTTATAATTAAAATTGTAGATAAATAAGAAAAAAAAATTTTATTTCATCGTATTGAAACTGGACAATTGTCAAGTAATAATTTACCAAAATCTCGTCCAATGATCAAAATAAAATTTTTAAGCTTAGCCTATAATTTTTTTTAATTAACAATTTTTTGATTTCGCTTCGCCTTTACAAAATAGTAGGGTAAATTTTAACGATTCACAAATTAAAATTGTTGACATTTTATCTGATTAGTCGGATTAAAAACTGTCAAAGTTCACAAACGGATGGTGACATAAACATTTGACTGCACAACTAATCTACGGATCATGTGTATGTGTTATGTTGTACATATGTATTTAACCGTATAAGTACATATAACAGCCGTTTTGGCAGTGCAACGCTACTTCCTTGCCAGTAAGGTCAAGTGTTATGGTCTAAATTTACATAACTGCGCGAAATGGTCACCTTTGGTATTGATAATCCACAAAAATTACTGTCATGAATAGAAAGAGGTCAGTTATGCTATAGTATAGGCCTCAAAAAACTCAGAAGAAAATTGGTATGAACCAAAGGCTATATGTCTCAAACAAGGAATTCAAACATAATCTAAGTTAGGAAGACGAGGCCATAATCAACCAAGCAGAACCAGGAGGTATTTAAGTAAATATGTTTGCAGATATGTGCAGTTTGCATTACGTTTTGTTTGACTTTATGGACTATTCTTACGGTGAAATATTACGTTAATTAAAAACTAAGCACACTTAACTTAGATTACGTTAAATAATGATCAGAGAGTAGCTACTTTTAAGTTTGTAAAATCTAATTTGAATTTTGAAATTTTATTTCTTCTTTTATTTCCAATTTAATGAAATCATTAAAATGAAAAAATAAACACCCTCTATATAACTTTATAGAAAATACAAAAACAATTAAGTAATAAAAATTCTAATATTTCTTATAAATATTGTTCTGCGGCATAGTATTATATAACATAGAGTTAATAATCATAGTGTAGATAGTCGTTACTATCAAGTAATTAATTTTAGGTCACCGAGCGAGGACGGTAGTTAATATGAAATTAATTAAACAGTTTAGACGTCATCAATACTCGTCTATTAATGAGCTATACATGGTGTTTTAATAAAATTATATTACAAATTTAATATTTTAATTTATATTAAGTACGAAAAAATAACTTCTCTTTAAAAGCAAATACTACTTGAGTTAAAAATAAATGTTTGTAATTATATGTACCTTAAAGTAGAATCAGGCCATAAGCTAATGGTGTAGCTTAAATTATGAAAACTAGCGACTTCATACGCGCGAAATAAAAAAAATATTAGCCTATGACTTCTTCCAGGCGATGTTCTATATCTATGCCAAATTTCAGCGATATCCATTCAGCCGCTCTGGAGATACCTTCAAACATCCATCCATGCATACATCCACCAATCCATCCATCCACAAACAAATATGATGCAATATTGTTCTAATCAAAATGATAAGTTCTTTGAATTATATTTTAAGCGTCAATAGCCTAATGGTTAAGGGTACGGATTTCTGATCACGAGGTCGGGGGTTCGAATCCCGCCATTCGACTATTGTCGTAAACCTAGCACAAGCCTAGAGCTCAGTTGGAATGGTAAAAGAAATATTAGTTAATTTACAAAAAATCTACTAATATTTTTAATAAAAAAAATACATATTAAACTAAAAATGAAATAATCACTAAGAAAAACTGCTACTTCTCAAGTCTTTTCTTTTTAATGGTCCACGTTTTTGTTCGTTTGGACTTTGACCTGTGATTTGAAGTTTTTTTTCTTTGTTCGTAACTTAACGGCTACGAAACTGAAAAGGTCGAAACAACAGTTTCTTTGATCCCACGTAAATATATGAAAAATATTTTCTTTTTATTCTATCTTACTCTTACTAATATTATAAATACGAATGTTTGGATGGATGGATGTTTGTAGGTATCTCTAGAATGACTGAAATTTGTCATATATGTAAGCACATAGTCCGGAAGAACACATAGGCTAGTAATTTTTTTTTTTTTTAATACCGCGAAGACGGAGTCATAGGCGACAGCTAGTGATAAATGTATTTGTTTTGTATTTATGTTAGACAAATTGTTATTTTTTACGCTTATTAGGCATTTTTTTTTATTTATTTGCAAATTGTGACATTTGATCTATACAAATATAAAATATTGTCAGACAGCCCATCGTGTGTAGCGAATGGTTGTAAATAATTTAAAAAAAGTATGTGTTCACTATAGATTGATATGTTTTAATATGTTGAAGGAGGTTTAATGTCCGCTTTATTCCCATACTAGCGGTCGACCGCGACTCTGTTTGCGCAAATTAAAAAAAACATAATTAGTAGCATATATGTTCTTCCAGACTATATTCTACAATTATGCCAAATTTCATCGAAATTCATTGAGCCGTTCTATAGATACCTTCAAACAAACATCCATCTAAACATTAGCATTTATGATATTAGTAAGATTAGCGTCAAAGTAATTATAAGGTTAGCACCTACTTTTTCATGTCGGTGTCCAGTAATTGCGACGAAATGAAGCGTGCAATCCTTTGTCGAGCTCGAACTAATGCGGGCCGCCGACATAGATCTCTAAATACTTGAACCTTTCTTTTGCTCATGTTATCTTTAGGAACTATTCTTTAATGCCAATTACAAGAATGCTTTTCTGGAAGCATGTATGTGTTTCATTATGATATTTTGTTTCTTATTCGTCATATTAGTTATGGAGATACAGTATGTGCCTTTTTTGTTAATTAATTTAATTATTAATTAACATATTTCAATTCTTACTAATTATTAACCAATTGTATTACTTTAAATCAGATGTAATCCAAATTAATTGGAAATTTACCGTTAATCTTTTATTTAATAATATAAATTATTCGAACATAACTTATACTACGTTACATTCTTGCTTAAACCTTTTGACGTTTTCGAATATAGGTTACATAATAATAGCTAGATATTTGAATCTATCTTACCCAACATTTCTAGGCCTTCAGACTTGACCTTGAAACATCGACCTTGGAATCTTATCATTCGAGTAACTCGATCCATAAAGGATTTATGCAGAGATGATAAGTTGAATTTTGTAGGTTACGTTTTGATATATAATGTCAAGGTCAAATCACATTTTAAAAAGAAATAATGTTTGCGTTTCGTTTTGAGAAATAATATAATTTTTAATTAATATGGTTTGTGTGTACTTTTTATCGTTGGTTTCTGAGACCAAAATCCGTGTATAAAACATACTGTGACCTCTGTATTGTATAAAAATGTTGATTTCAGAAACCAATGATTAAAATTTAGATAAATAAAATAATAGAATGTCGATAATTTATAGTCTTAAATATCAAGCAAATATTTAGTATGTATGAAAAATTCTAACAAAGTGGGAACAGTGTGTGTAAGGTTGCACAGAATAGCGGTACGCGTGGTTGTTAATTTATATTATTAATAAAAACTTTTTAAAGATAAATAAATATAAATTCATTTCTCCAACTACGTTTAGAACGTGAGAAATGTTTTATGAAAGTTCTCTATATGGGATTAAGCTGCCGGTCTTAAGTTCGAGCTTGCGCGTTCCAACCTCCGTTTCGCCACGAGTCAGTCGCACTACGCCTGCCAACATAGCCACTACTGCGCAGAGCTTTTACACAGAGCTTTCTAGTGGAGCTTTTACGTGCTTCCTCCGACGCAACTTTGTAGTGAATAAAATATATTGTGTTGGTGTTAGTGAAGTTTGAAAGTGATCACAGGATGTGTTGTAATTATTTTATGTTGAACAAAATTTATTTAATTTTTAAAAACAAACGATGACCTTTAAATTTAGCAGGTGAGTTGTGTATTTTTAATTTGCTTCTACAATTTTAATAAGCGTTTTGTGAAAGCGTGTTAATTAACATGTGTGCTCGGCTATGTATTTGATTTTAATTATGTTAAGATATATTAATTATTTATTTTACAATTTAATTATATTTATTATTAATTATATTATTTAATAAAATTATCTGTCAATTATTTTTGTAACTTATTATTATTTTAATTAAAATTATAATTATTTTAAATAAAGAACTTAATTGGTAATTGTTCTGATAAAACACAGCATTATTAATCGATCAGTTAATACAATAATTGAAATATTATTAGTAATATTGTATTTGTAAATGAAAGTTAATTGTTTGGTTCAATGTAAAATTTACAGTTCGGGGATTTATACAATGCGGTACTATTAAACCACACATAATCTTGAAGCTTTAGGTTTATCTATAAAGATCCACGTTGCACAATTGAGCGAGAAACTCAAAAACTACTGAAGTGATTTTCGAGCTTTTATTAAAATAAAGCTCCTGTTTTAAGTAGCGAAGTTTGGTTAGGTTTGTAGTGCAGAGAACTACTAAAGTAGATTCTTAAAATATTTTTATTTTCTTGTATAATGTTAAAATCATATTCTGTTAAATGTAAATATTTAAAGATAAGTTAGTGCAAATGTTTTATCTATATTTGAACCTTTATCTAGAAGTATATACTTCATTCCTTTTTCAAAGGTTAAGGCTGTTCTTTCGATTCTCTCTCGCTTGAAAAAGCACCCCTCAGACGAAACGGTATTCCTTGTTAAATATAGATTAAATTCATTCAAATAAAAGATCAAATTTTTCAATCTGCAACACTGATTTTCAATTCTATGAGAATATCAGAGAGGGCTTAAGTCGCTTATCATGTTCGTTAATTAAAAATAAAATCCAATCTTTTATATTTTTATAATACATTTCTTAAACGAGTCTTTTTTTAGATTTGATATTTTGATGGGTGTTTTTTTTTATATCATAATGTGGCAAACGAGCGAGCGGCCACCTGAAATCGCTGAAATATCGAAGCGACCGTTGCCCATAGACATACGCAATTGCATATGCGTTACCTACCTTTAATCGATAGAGGAGAGGATGCACAGAAAGAAAATATTTTCCCCTACCATGCATCTTCTCATTCGGAAAGTCCACTTCCACTTCCCATCCTTTGAGAAAAAGGGTGGGAAGGGAGAGAGGACTAATTTTGGCCTCCGGGACGCACACTCACCAGACTGTACGCGGAATAGCTTCCACTTGACGCCTGTCTTCTGTGTAGTCATGGTATTTCACCGGGCGAGCCGGGACAATTCTTGCGAAGATGTTAAAGCGGGCTCTACCACTGGTTATCTTTTTTTTGTGTGATTGCATATTTTTCTAGTTTCTTGTTGGTTTTTCATAACACTCAATATAATTTAACAACACTTATCGTTAGCTTTGGCGCAGTCTAGCCTATAATAGGAATAGACTGGTACACAACTGTAATGCTCAACTGGCCTTCCATTTTATTAGCATTGTCTTGTCTATTTATACTTAAGCTTCCAACTCTACAGCGATCTTAATGCGGCTTTCAATTGATGACAGGTTAACCTTTGTCATATGTTGATATTCGACTTCTAGGAGTCGTAACTAATAAGAAAAATATCTAGACAAGCTTGCTATTTGACACGTTCCTAGTTCAACGAATTGTTCTAATTAACCAAATATTATAAGATCATTAGCTGTCACCCGCGACTCCGTCTGCGCGGGATTAAAATTGGATGTTGGCCGATTCTCAGCCCTACTCCATATGCTCACAAAATTTCATGAGAATCGGTCAAGGCGTTTAGGAGGAGTATGGGAACGAAAATTGTGACACGAGAATTTTATATATAAGATTGGGAAAGTATCACTGTGGATAGCATTGGGGAAGGCTAATATCCAGCTATGCGCAAAGGCTGATGATGATTGACATAAACTATGGAGTTTCCAGCTTGGGGTTTCCAGTGTCGAAACGCCAGAAAAACACACAATTTTTTTTACAAAAGAATTTTAAGGGATGACATTTTTTTAAGTGTTTAGCAATAGAAATTTGCAACATATTTCCATACTTTATATAACAATGTTGGATCATACAATTTTTTACCTGAAAAGACATTCCTAATGTCAAATATGACGAAGGATAAGCCTTAATGTGGGTAATAATTTTTGCTCAACTTTTTTGTGACATACGAATTGGAGACATCTCTGCCAGGTCAGAGTATTTGCTTTGTGATTGAACACAACTAGATATCTACTATCAACACTTAGTGATGTTAAATGATTACTTAAACATCAATTTAGTGTAATTTAAGTAAGCGAAAATTGCACTTATGTTGTTAAAATATCATACAAATCTGAGTGTGACAGACCCTGTTAACTTAAAATGTGGTTTACTATAAAGCGCACTTTGGTAGTTTTATTTCGTGAACAACAATGTGTACATCTGACCTACAAACTTTGTTATCACAGTTGTAAATCTGATTTTATTTCTTATAAGTGTGCCCGCGAGTTCGTCCTCATGAAATACTGTCTTTGAACAGCGCGCGGTACAGTACTTGGACATTGCATCATTACTTTATTTTTCTAAAATAAACGGAGGCAAAGTTACTCCTTATTACTTTACTGCCATTAGAAGTCTCTCCAAAATCGGGCCAGCGATTTCAGAGATTATTTGGAACAAAAAGACAGACACACAAAAATAGTAAAAAATATTAATTTAATATTACAAACAGACACTCCAATTTTATTTATATGTATAGATGCATAAATAATTTCCCGAGCATTTGACAAACATTTGCACGTTGTATTCAATTTACATTTCCATAAAATGATACAACGATTCGAGACAAAAACTTAGTTGTATTTATTTCCTACTGTCATTTACTTTAGTAATGTTACTATTATGCGATTGTTTAGATGAATGGATGGATGGATGTTTGAAGGTATCTCCGGAATGGCTGCATGGATCTTGCTGAAATTAGGTATAGATATAGAATACAGTCTGAAATGACACTTAGACTACTAATTATGTTTTTTTTTCCGTGCGGACGGAGTCGCGGGTGACAGCTAGTGAAAAATCTTTACTATAATTCAGACTCATATTTTTAAACAATAATACAGTATGTTACAAAACAATACAAAATATAATGACATTTAATGTAATAATGGTTAGAACATTCAACAACACAAAAAGCTCTCGGGCGGACGTATTATGTTTCGGTCAAAATTTTCTGAGTTCGCTTTCAATTCAACACTCCCTTTGTTTTAAAAATTAAAACGACTTTTTTACGTGTTATTTTTTGTTAGTATGTAATATATAAAATACGTTCGTTTGCTTGATATGAAGAATTAAATGAAAATTAAACTGCTTTTATGAAACATTTAGCGTCTCTCAAAGTACCTGAAAGGTACAGGTAGATACGTAAAGGTACTGACGCAGTTTTTACCATACGTATCCATTGGCTCGCACCGGACGCATCGCACGCACGACTCGCCACGGATTTCAGTTTACTTTGTATGATGAACAAGCAACCCGTTGCGAGCCGTTTATGCGGTGAGGTCCTATGGACGCGTACCTTTATAGTACACTTTGTTCCAAATAAAGTTTATGATTTTGTAAACAAATGATATAATTTTTACATTTCAAAGTATAAAAAAAAACTTTTATTTATCGATATTAACCATAATTTACTATGATATAGTGTAAATACCGCTTTCAATAGAAAAAGACGTCTGTAGATTTATGTAGATGTTACGCAGATCAGTAAACGTGAGATGGATTGTAACATTCAACGGTAACATGGTAACTATTTTTATGTTACAAATATGTATAATTCTTGTCACATTTTTACGTTATCTAAAATTCCTAACCCAAATATAACATTTAAAAAAATTTATAACGTACTTTTATATTTTCCAAAAGTGTTAAGGGTTATTTTTGCGTCGTGAGCTCTTTAAATTTATTATAATTAATTCTCGGTGTGATATAAAGCGGCCATGTTTAATGATAACAGGATTTTAAATTAAGGGACTAATATTATGACCCTTTTATAATTATGAACAAGGATATGGCTCTCCTCATGACATAGGTTCGATTCCTAAATATTTTCATTCAATTAATTTTATGCGCTTTCGTTTTAATAATAGATGTTATACTCGTAGTAGAGTGGAGTAGAAGAAATTAATAAGAAAGCTAACCTCTAGACCAAAGAGACACAGCTTGTGTCTCTTTGGTCTAGAGGTTAAAGAAAGATAGAGAGAGAGTTGATACCTGGGACTTTAGATTTGTTCTCTATTTTATCCTTCTAAATTAAAATTAAAAAAAAATAGTTTATATATGATGTTTCTATCAATAAAAGATAATCTTAACTAAGATTACAAACGCTATTGTTTGTATGTATGTAGGTTCTGAATAAACTTAGTATATGTGTAGAACTTTCTGAAAAAATACATAGGCTACTAAACAAGCTTTGTTTTATTGTGCGCGGACACAGTCGCGGGGAACATATAGTGTTATCATAAAGTATTCTGTAAGTTTTTTTGTACATCACTTTTACATTCTTTTCTATAAAATAGCTGCACATATGTACATAATATGACATATATATTCACATTAATTATTATTAACTTAGAAATAAGACACTTTATCTGTGGACCTAGCACGAAAGTGACAATCGCCTATTATCGTTTTCATTAAATTTGCGTTAAAATTTGTGCAGTGTTATCGAGTAAACAATTCTCACTAATTTTGTCATAATTGTGTCATCAATACGAAAGCACTTGTCGCAAATATTCGTACTACGTCCACTAAACTCCACTATTAACATATTTTACTTTGACTTACAAATGTAAATTCACAATTAAACTGAAAAGTCGTACGTTTTAAAAATAAAAGCAAATTGCCTGGAACGCATTAAAATTTCTCATTTCACGTCGCAGCGTGCGGTGAATACTAACGTATGTACGATCA